TTACTCAATAGGACAGAGAAGGGAGACGCTTTAACAGTTCTTAGCACACAGAGCTGCTCTACACTGTCCCTGCGGTTGTGTGTGTGGCCTTAGGAATCAGTGAACGAGCTCCTGACATAAAAAAACCAACTGGGGAGAACCATGGGGCCCGGTTCCAGGATAAAGCGCTTCATGACTTCCGGAGAACGGAGCGCCACTTCACTGGCAGTGGGTTCTAGGTCTCTTCGCAGAGCCACGTCCAAGGATTCACTTAAAAACAGCCCTGGACTGAGCAGCTCTACCCCGCCTCTCAGCAGCGCTCTTCAGACAGTCATCTGTGTCTTCACTGAGCTGAGTGACACCCACCCTCCTCCCCTTCCCCCTGAAATGCCTTCAAAACCACGTTCAAGGGACGCAGTTTAATCACTGCACAGCCTGAACCAGAATGCCCAGCATGGCACCGGCCCTGTTTCTAGAAACGTCAGGTCAGCCCAGGAGAAGTCCTGCGGCCCAAGGGTGCTCAGAGGGCCTCGGGCTCTGACAGCAACATCAAGGGAGGCCACAAACTTGTCTGAAAGCAGTTCTGATCAAGCACCCCCTCCACCCTGTTTACAGCGGAGAGTGACCCGAAACCTGAAACAGCGCCACTTCCCACTTCCCTCCCCATCAGCCCACCCTGTTCTGACCTTCTCTCCGCCGGCCACCACCTGTGCTGTTTTGGTGACATACTGCTCAAAGAGCAGGACGAGGAGAACCCAGAGGAATCGCTCTGCCCCCAGGGTGTCAGTCAGCTGTGCGAGGACCGGCAGCCGCCTGTGCTCCGGGACGTGGGGCAGCGCGTCCACAAACACGCCGACGATCTTCACCACGATCTCCTCCACGCTCCTCGTGGCTTCTGCGGAGCCTCCAGTGTCAGACTGTGGGACAGCAAGCAGGATGCTGAGCAGAAGCAAACCACCCACCGCGAGATGGGCTCTCCGCAGACAGGAGAGGCCTTCAGATGTGCCCCAGAGTGATGGAAGGAATTTTAATAAACCCAGTCAGCAAGTATCCCAGGAGCGCAGACTGCCCCTGGGCCGAGCTGCGACACGTAAAGAGGCGACGTTGGGGGCGCAGCCGGCAGAGGCCCCTGCAGGGCCCGCCGGGCCTGCACTGCCTGGGGAGGGCGGTGCCCCTTGGGGAGCCCAGCGCCAGAGGGGCGACGGCTGCCCCACCTGCTGCCTTCATAACGAACTCCACCTGGTCTCACTCCTGTTTCCGTGCTCGAGAAACAGTTCCCGGACAAACGGCAGACGGAAGACACGGACACCCACCATAGACGCTCGCCCGAGTGGCTGCCCCGATGCCTGGGCCCAGCCTGGGCTCTTGGCCCCTTGCACCCCGCACACCCCACCAGGTTCCAGGGCTGCTTCCCGAAGCCCAGCAGTCCCCACCCGGCGGACACCCGCCTCCTGAGCCCCTCTGCATGTCTCTTCTCTGCCGGCGTATGTTCCTGTCCTTACACATGGGAGCTGCCCGGGCTAACATGCTGCACACAGAACACCAGCCTCACACCAAGACGCAGAGGACAAGGTGCTGCAGACGGGCGCTCCTGGAGTGGTCACGGCCAGTGACACGAGCAGCGACAGCACCAGAGTGGGGCAGGGAGAAGCCCCCCAGGCAGAAGCACGCTCACTCAGCCTCGCGGCCGCTTCGCACCTTCAAGTCCTTCACTCCCTCTGGAGACCCGCCTGGTGGAGACCAGGCCTCCCTCAGCTCTGGGAGCCCGGGCTCCGAGCGTGCGGTGCACGTCTGCTGAGCCATGTGCATCAGCAAGTCTGCTTCAAAACCTCCTGTCCCCCCGCCCCCGCCCTGCGTAAGGGCCCCCTCACACTCAGCCCACGCCCGCAACGCACAGGAAGTGCGAGTTCACAGAGACTTCTGGAAAAGATGTTACCTCCTAGAGTGTGTCTTGGCTTCGCTGCTCTGAGAGGCACAAAGCCCTGAGCGTTTCAGAAAGGCTTTTAGTGTCATTCACCACCACCTCAATCTCACACTATGTAAAAACCGTAAAAGTTAAACCACACTAACGACGGCAGGGAGCCCGCGTACCTGAATGAGCGCCGGGATGACCATCTTCACCGTCTTGCTAATGACCTGGAAGCTGTAGGTGTCGTCCAGGCGCATGACATTGGCTCCCATGAACGTAAAAATAGACATGATGTTGTGCAGAACCTTATCCTGAAAGGAAACACGTCTCTCAGCGTTTTCTATTTTAAGCACATCAAATATCAATAAGTCATTAGAGGTCAGCAATAAAAAGAAAAGACCCAATTTAAACATGGGCAAAGGATTTGCCGAGACATTTCTCCAAAAACAAATAATGGTCATTAAGCACATGAATAGCTGATCCACTTCAGTATCAGGGAAACTCAAAATCCCAATCTTAAGACACTGCTTCACACCCACGAGGGTGACTGTAATATAAAGAAAAAGCCGGTAACAGCTGTGAGGAGAGGAGAAACCACACCCGCAGACACTGCGTGGTGGGCACGAGACGCACGGACGCTCTGGGAAACAGTCTGACAGGTCCTTAGAAAGTCAGAGCCAGCATGTGGCCCTGCAGCCCCACTCCTGCTGGAAACACACTCACACAAAACCTCCCATACGAGTGTTCGCAGCAGCGTAACTGAGAATCGCCAAAAAGTGCAAACAACTGAAATGTCCATCAACTAATGAACAGGTAAGTCGCGGTGCACGCGCACAACGCTGTATCACACAGCCGTAAGAGGAACACTGGTTCAAGCTTCAAAACAGATGACTCTTGAAAACACTGTGCAAAGTGCACGAAGTCAGACACAAGGAAGGCCACACACTGTACGGTTCCATCTACAGGGACCGTCCAGAGCAGAGAAGGCGGGCAGGGCGGAGGCGGAGCCGGGGACACGCGGCTGCTCCCGGAGTGATGGCCGTGTGACCCGGTGCAGGTACCAAGACGGCTGAACCCTGCACTCTGAAGGGGCGGGGTTTACGGCATATGAACTACGTACAGTTCGCTAAACAAAAAAATATCAGCTATTCTTAACTGTTACTGGATTACCAACCCTGTGAGAGCCACTGACTGTATCCCAAGGGAAAAGCCCCACCCAGATAAGACCTTCCACACGTGGCTGCAGCGGATCAGAAGACAAGCCCTTTACGCTCATGGGGGTGGCTGATTCCCCAACGTGAAAGTAATTCCAACCTCTTCAAAACATCTTCAAATGACATACTTCTATAAGGAACACGGCTTCTCTTCTTTAACAGCGGTAGTTTATCACCAAATTAATTTTCTTAAATCACTGGTTGAAAGCCGTGTGAGGATTACCTGAGGAGTCACGGGAGTCTTTCCAGACAGCACAGCACAGCACAGCCCCACGTGTGGGAGCGACCCTGACCCAGGCACTGTGCTAGGAGCTAGCCAGGAACCCTCACTGCAGCCCTATGAAGGTCGCTGTTATTCTGCACTTTACAAAAAGGGGCACCAAAGCTTAGCAAGACCAACCAGCTCACAGTCTCGGCCACTGAAGAGGCAGGGCTGACAGATCCCAGCGCTGGAAGATCCCAAACACCACTGAATTCAAAGCAGTGCACACCGGTGGGTCCCCACAGAGAGACGCCGGAACCCCTGCCCGAGGACTCAGAGCGACCGGCACTCACAGGAAATATCCCAGCGACAGCGCCCAGAAGTAAGAGGGCCTGGTGGTGGGTCTGAGGCATCTCGGAGAGGCGGATGCACTGAACTATCAGCTCCACGTTGAACTTCTCCTCGTCAAGAACATCTGCAGGGTGAGAAATAAAAACCCCAAGGGGGTGGCACGGACTCCCTCAAGCAGACAACCCTCCCCGCTCTCCTTCCCACACAGCACACACCTGTGGGTATCCCGCCGCCATCTGGAGAGAGTTTCTGGCAGATGTTGAGCAAGCAACTCAGAATTAGCTGTTTGGTGTACTCCATGCTGCCCTGCTCCAGCGGCAAAGGCTCCAAGCTCCTTCAGGACGCCCGGGGAGGAGGAGGGATGGGTGGTGAGAGAGACGCACAAGGTCAGCGCTGCACTGATGCCCAACTGTCCAGAGCACACATTCAGAGAGGGAAACTACACTACAAACATTAACCATCGAGTCTACAAACATGATGAGAGTCTAGATTCCTCCCGCAGGCGGACGCTTACGACAACCACCCCCCACCTGCACGCTCATCGCCTTGTTCTGAACCTCCTAGGACAGCCGGGACAACCTCTTTCCTTCTGGTCGAGAGCTCACACCCACAATTCAGCACAGACACTACAGCGACCTAACCACACGCACCCGAAAAACGCAGCCAGTGTCCCGTTTAATAAATACAAGCAATGACGTCCCAGGGACGTGGGGCTGGAAGTTAAGAAGGAAAGCAGGGGCTCGGGGCTGTGGGCCAGGGGGTGAAGGTCAGGTTCAGGCACTGGCAATGCGTCCCCATAACCTTTCTTTACATCTTTCAACTACAGCCTTCACGTGCTTTACCTTGCAGACCAGCTACACAAGAAAAGAACATTGAATAAGCAAGACGGGCAAGAATCAGAGCCTCACTCCCTGCCAGGCTGAAGGCCGGGCGTTACCTCGACAGCAGGCTGAAGAGAGTCGGGACCAGCAGCTGAGGGCTCCTGAGCTTCTTCTTGTGCTGCAGTAATTCTAGGATGAGGGTTACTCTTTGCCAGTAAGAACCTCCAACGTCCTGACCAGATTCCAGATCCTGTGATTTTCTGGGGAACACACACGACAAACAGTTAGAAAAGCAAACACTATCGATGCTGAGGAAAAATCATCGCACCCGATTACGCCAAGCTGACGGGCATCGGAAAGTCACAGCAGTTCCATGACGCTCGGGGACGGGGGAGCCGCAGGCTCTCCCTGCGCTCGGGGCTCTTACTTCTGCTGCATCTTCTGCCTCCTTGCTTGCTGGATTGTGCCCAAGGGCTTCGTTTTATCTGGTGGCTCCAGTTCTATTCTGACTTGTTCAGCATTAACGGAAATCTGAAACAGGAAGAAGGCGGATGACAGAATTCCACGGGGTACAATTAGAGCAGTCACTTGAAGAGATGCAGTGAAAACATATTCTGCCTCCCTGCGACTCGAGGGCCAGACTGATCCCCAAAGGCAAACACCAGCGACAATTGCTCACATGTTCTTCTGGAAATTTCCCACATACCAACAGCTCTATCAAGACGAAACGTGTAACGGAATTCAGACACCCCTGGATGGTATGAACACTCCCGAGGGTGAAACCGCAGAGCGAGCCCATAGAGGAGCTACAGAAGCAGTGCGAGCGAGGCGTCCACTGACAGTGTGAGAGATCTTCTGGTGCCACGAGAGGGACACGGAAACGAACAGTGCCTAAATATACATATTTCCGTCAGGAGAAAGATCAAAGGTATTTATTGATTCTTATCTTGAGAAATAAATGAATCCAAATATAAGTAAAATTTAAAATTTTTGTGAAATATTTAAGAAAAAGACTGAAATAAATGTATTACATCTTCCTGAAAAAGGAAGACTCTTGATAATGTATGATTTTACTTCCCAAATTGAACTATTTTCCATTCAAAGTTTTATTGGTAATCTTTCTACCCTGACAGTGTTTTTCCAAAGTTTATCAGGGAGAAAAAGTCACAAGCACGAAGTTAAAAATCTGAAAAGTCAGAGAGAAAGCGGTAAGAAAAACTACAGTAACTGAAACCAAATACGGCAGTAACGGATCTGGGGTGCACTTCAGGCGCCAGGGGGCACGAGAAACGAAAGAGGATGGTCTTAAACCTGAGTGTGGAGAGCTTAAGAATGGAAGCGTCAGTAACCTAGACGCCCACTTACTACGTGACACCAAGGTAAGTTTCCGAGGAATTAAAGGCTACCTACAATAATTCAAATTAAAGGAAAGTCAGAACAAAGTGGAACTGAGTCCTTGCCAGACTCGCAGAGTGGATGTCTCATCTCTGGAATAAAAGGAGACAGAAGGGAGGAGAGCAGTCTGCAGACATGAATATTCCAAATTTTAACGTTTACATATATAAAAACAGTAAAACAGAAATAAGGATTGGGAAACACTGCAAGTATTATATAATTTTAGCATCTTTATTCTGTAAAAGGCTCTTCTTGGTAAGAAAAACAATAAAAAATGTGCTTCACAAGAAAACTAAGTTAGTAAATACACGAGGGAAGGTGTTCAAAACAGCAGTAACAGACAGGTGCTGTGCGTCCAACAGGGGGTGAAGCTGGCACGTGCAGGTCAGGTGGGGGCAGGGTAAGAAAGATGAAGCTCACACACGTGCGGGCAGAAGCGTGTCACACACCCTGCTGCTCTGCACCCTGGTTTGTGTCACTTATCTCAGAAAGCTAAGTAAAGACGCTAAAATTCTGAGACCTGCGGAACCTGAATACCAGAACTTCACCACACAATGATCTGTTTCTGTGGAAGCGTTTTCCTAAAAACGTCACAGAACAAAGCAGTGACGAGGCGGTCAGCCTGGTCTACAGCCAGGTTCGCCACGCACGCAGACCCACGAGCGGCACCTCCGTTCTGCCCGGTTATGTCGCTCCACGATGGCTCAGATTAAGCCGAGTCTGTTGCCCAGCTGGACGGCAGGCACCACGCAGTCCTAATCCCTGCGCGAGAGGCAGACCCTCCCACACACCCTGCCTGTTCGGAACGACAGATGCTTCCTACAATAAAGGTAACGGTGAAGACCTGTAACTCCCATCCTGCACTTCTCTGCGACCTGCGCTTCCACGACTCTGGCCACTGGGGACGTCTGACTTCCTAAAAGCACAGTGAATGGAGGGCGCCTGCACACAGCGTCACCTGGAAGAGGACCAACGTGAGTAAACAAGCGACGGAACACTCACAACTTACCCCTTTGAAAACACTGCTGACAGTCTGAGCACAGCGCGCGTCTCTGCAGTTCACCAGCAAGTCGAACAGCGTGCACAACAGCTTCTGCTGAACCCTTTCATCTGACACAGCTGCAAAGAACGGCTTCGTAATCTAGAGGCAGAAAAAGGCAGCTGAGCTCAGGGAATAAACGTGAATTCCAGTCTGTCTCTCTCACGACGTGAACCGTTCGTTAGTCTGTCAGTTTCAGTGACTCACGTACATCATTCGGTTCTGCGAAATGGGTCAGATATACCATATTATTCCTTTAAAACATACCCAGTCCATGATCTTCTCCAAGTAAATCAGTACAAGTTTTTAAAAGCCTGAACATGCTTTAGTTTCTGAAAGAAGTCACTGACCTTTTCAAGAGCTGTAATCTGAACGGCGGGCATTCCTGTGTAAAGCTCCTTTGTTGTGTGCACAGCTTTTATAAATATATCGAGACTCTTCGGGTCCTTGTGTAAAAGGGAAGCTGAGTATTCGTTGTATTTTCCCAGAGAGAGGTGCAGAGCAATGGCCTCGTCTTTCAGGACGGCTGTGGGCTCCTTCTGGATCTTGTCTAGTAGTTGTTCGATCATAGGCAACAGCTGAGAAAGCACCGTCTGAAGTTTGGAAAACTCATTAGTAAACAGTTGTCTATACTGATGAAAGCTTGTCGTGCTGTACAAGGACACCCAAAGATACCACGCTGCAAGACTGGGAGCCCAGCCTGAGGAAGGAGCCCAAAATGACGACCTCCCAGACACCAGGACGGCTGTTCATCCAAGCCGGGCACCCAGGTCCCCTCTGACAGCTCAGTCTGCAACGGGCAAAAGCTCTAAACTCTTCCGAAATGACAGGAGAAACAATCTGCGAGCATCCTGACTTTGTGAAAACAGGAAATACAAACTTCAAGTTTCACACAAAAGAAATACATTTTAGCTTTTCTAAAATGCTGCACACTTCCTCAAACAGTGTTTCCAACTTGGCATGATTAATACTAATTCAAATTATGTCTGTGAAATCTTTAAACAACGAAACCAGGAGCAGCAAATTACGGCTTGCAGACCAAATCCCGAGGGCCGCCTGGGCTTGGCAATTTTGTTTCCTCAAACACAGGCACGCTCACTGTCTACCTACTGTCGGGGGCTGCTTTCCCAACACCATGGCAGACCTGAGTGCCCTGCAGACCGCAGCCCACAGAACCTAAAACAGTCACCGTCTGGTCCTTTGCAGAACAAGATGGTCAACTCCCGGTTTCAACCCTAGCAGGGACGACCGGAACTGACAAAGGCTATCTGTTCAAGCGCACCACGGCAGTGGAGGCAAATGGCTTTTACTCCGTTTTACCCCCTTTTGTGCCCCAAGCTGCCGTCCATCCAAGGATGGCAAAGTACACAGGCATTTTTGGAACACGAGACGAAGAGCATTTTTTCTCTGCTTATGAGCACACGCTGTCACACCACCAAGTTTCCTCTGTGTCACAGGCTTCCTCGACAACTTAATGAAAGCTACAGACGCTCCCCCCAGAAAAACGTCTGACATACGTTTTAAAATAAAGTGAATGATCCTGGGATGTACACAAGCCTTTACGTCCAAATCTATCACCTCGTGGAGGGTTTTCACCCGGAGCACAAACACACCCTGACGGGTTTTCAGCAGCGCATCATCAGTGTTCTTCCCCGTGCGACTTTTAAATTCATTTAAAATCAAGCCCACGATTAGATGGGATGACACACGATTTCAAAATGGAAAGAAACTCACTGATTCTTGCCTCTTGTGTCCTGTGTATTTTTCTCCCCCGCCCCCAATCAGTAAGAAAACGCTCCCGTGTGGACACGGAGCTCCCACTGCGTCCTGCTTACGTGAGTGGCAGCAAGCCCTCAGTGACGCCACGCGCAACGGGCATACCTCACTGTCGACTTCCCGAAGCACCTTCATCAACTCTTTTCCAACGTACGATGGGCAACTATATATGCAATTAAGTAGGTTTTTCAAAGTTTCAGACAACTTCTGGTGAGATTTCGCTTTCTTTTCTCTCTGTAGCTCCTCAAATAAAGTAGCCAAATCCTAGGATACAGAAAAGGAAACTGGATTTAAAAAAACAAACAAAAAAGCCAAGGAGCCACCGAGGCCACGGGTACTACTGACTGAGGGTTCTCTCCCACGCGATGCGGCGCCACTCGTGACTTTTCACCTCCCCTGAAGCCTTAGCAGAAAGAGGAGCGCCACCCACCGGCCAGCTTACTATCAAAAGCTCCACGCTGCCCTCTCAGCCGGTGGACAAGGAGCAGAAATGAAACGCGGTACTGTCTTTCTAACACAGGGGCTGGGGGGAGGGCACAGCCCAGCGGTGGGGCGTGTGCTTAGCGCGCAGGGCCCAGGGTCAATCCTCAGTCCCTCCGTTAAACAAGCAAACTTAATCCCCCAATAAGTAAATACATAAAAGGTAACTGTCGCTTAAAAATTCTTTTTAATTTAAAAAAATTAAAAAGGAAAGAAAACGGGGAGAAAGATGTGCAGATGCTGACACACCAGTTTCTAAACTTGATGACTTAGTCACCAAAATCCCTACAAAGCAGAATGCCAAGAAAGGAGAAAGAGGCTCACTGTCCACACGGGCACGCACACGCTCAATCTTCTCTGCTAATGAGTTTACCTGAACAACGTAGGTGGCGTCTGAGGTGATCTCCTCCGCTTTCGGAACCAAGTGCTCTATCAGCAGGTGGAAGTGGGAGGCCACTCCGCCGAGGGCCTGCAGGCAGAGCGCGGCAGCCCTCCGGACTTCTTTCACGGGGCTCCCCAGACTGACGAGTAGAGACGGCACCACTAAACCAAAGGGAAAAACATGTATGTAACAACTTAAAAACTGAACGACTACAAAATTTAAATAGTACCAAAGGGGACACGATGGACAGCCTTCCTCCCAACCCAAACTCCCTCTCTAAAGACCGGTCACTGTTTAATTTTGTCTGCTGTTCTAGAGAAACGTCAGGCATCCACTGGCACATTCTCCTGAAAATACACAGATGACGTACAGTATTCACACCCTGTTCTGTACCACCTGGCGCCACAGCTCAATGTCTGCTGCAAGTGTTTTCCGTGAAAGTACACACATACCTACAGTATCCTTGTAAAATTGTACACAGATTTCCATGTGTATTTTCCAAGCTTTTTTAGACCAGTACCTGACTGGTAAAAGTTTAGATTGTTCCTACTCTTTTCACGTTACAAATGCTGCCACAAACACCATTGTACATACATCCTCGCACAAGTGTGCAAAAGAAATGACCCATTTGTGCATTTTGTTTTGCAAATATTTTGTCCTGAACTGATGTATATTTTCACTTTACCTTTCGCTGTGCAAACTTTATAGCTTTATAGAAAAATTTGTCTTCTAGTTCCGTATTTGCTTAGAAAGGCCCTCCCCACTCTAAGTGAACGTTTCAAGCACCTGCCTCTGTAGTCAGAGACCGTGTGTACTCCATGTTTTTTTCTAACACTAGAGCGCACCTTCTTAATGTGAAGGCTTTACTTCAGGTGGAATTTCTGTCTAAGAAATAATGTTGGAGTCAAACTTTTAAAATGTTTCCAAAAGGCTAGCCAGGTGTCCTGTTTAACAATCCACCCAAGAACCGCACAGGTCCGGGACGTCAGCTTTCTCATTTCACACGTCCCATCAGCACCTGAAACGCAGCTATTTCTGTCAACCAGTGCTTCCAGAACCAAGTTCAGTAACGGTGATGAATTAACAGGAATGCTTGTTCACGCAAACGCACAGAAACTGCTACCTTTTGACTTGAGAAGTATGGCCACCGCGTTACTCCAGTTTTGCTGTCACTTGATTACGATTTATTACTGATCTTTCGCTAATGACCTTTCAGACCTCTGGACGTGATTGTAAAGTTTCCTCCTTTAACAGTGACAGGGTCAATTACATTAACAGAGTTCCTTATTCTGAAATAATTTTGTATTGTTGGAATGAACTCTAACTGGGAAAATGTTTGTTTTCTAAAATAATGAAATAATGCTAATGGACCCAGCAAATATTCTATTTAGAATTTTTGCATTATTATTCAAAGCAATCATGGCTTTCTGTCTGTAAGCAGTGTCAGTTTTCAGAGTTACGCTGGTCCTATGAGTTACGTTCCTCCGTTCTATGCCCTGCCCGTTCAACAGCACTGAGATTACCTGCTTCAGGGATCTGGTAGAATGCATCTGTGTAATCAACTGATTCAGAGGTTTTTTAAAAGAAATCTCTGGGATAAAGAGGCACCCAAACTCCTTTATGGTAATTAGTTATTTAAGCTCTATTCCATACCACTTACTGGGGCACGTTCTGGTGATTTTCCCCTTACTAGAAACGATTTGCTCCACACATACTACTTCTGGAATGCTAAGACAGAGTGTGACAAGCTTTCATACACATTCACGGTCATGGGAAAGCTGGAAAGTCCTTCCTGGTCTCCATCACATTAATTTATAAAATAAAGCCAGAAATAAACAGCTGGAGAGTTGAATTCAGACAAAGGGGAGTTTCAGATCAGGATATCTATTTGCTAAAATTCCCAGTAAGGTGGGGCAGAGCTTCCAGAAAAATACAAATTCAGAAACAAATTCAAAGTACTAACTACAATGGTTACCATGTTCACGTACAGTACTAGAACTCAAGACAAGTCAAAGCTACGTTATATAAGTAATCAGGTTTTAGGAATGTCCTTCCATTTAAAAATCTTCTGTGTGACTTCATTCTACAAACAAATTTACTTTGATTTAAAACAGCGTATTTTATATAAAAGCTGGAAACCATACTTGAGTTCTGCTCTTGAACATGCAAATAAACTCACTACATCGATAAGGCACAGCAAACCAACGCGAGCCCCAGCTTGTGTCAGACGCTCATTCATTTAGCGAGGATGCGCCGTATGCCAGCCTGAGCTGGGGTACGTATTTGCACAGAAACAAGAAATGATGGTTAGATTCCCAAGCCACTGACAGAACTTAACTCGTATAATTGTAATATTCCAACGCCCCCCCACCCCTTCTGACTAGCACACTGTCTTTGGTTAATCTATGAACACACACAGCAGCCAGCACTCCCGCGGCTCCTCACTGCGGACTCAGCGGAGGCCCTGGGGGACCTGAGCTTCGAGGAGAGCACGGTGCCTCCCCTGCGCTCAGCGGAGGACTGTGCCAGGGCTGCGCAGCATAAACGCCGGAGCGCTTCGGGAAGGGGCAGGTGACGAAAGGCAGGCAGCGGGGGCGGGGGGGGGGCCCAGGCTGCGGCAACCCCAGGGGAGCCAGGCCCCCGGCCCTGCTGTTCGCAGACCGCGGGACACAGCCTCCTCAGGAGCCACCGCCTTGGACGCCAAAGCACAGCAGACGTCACACACCCAGTTAGAAATCGAAACAGTTACGACCCTTCTGAAAACTCACAAGTTTACCAGCAGATAACTATTAATAAATTATGCTATCTCCATACAATGGAATACTCTTCAGACATATAAAAGAGAGACAAAAGTCTACATTTGTTAATACAGACAGACGTTTCCAGGGTATTAACTGAAAAAGTTTAAAAATGCCCAGGAAGTTCTCATCCAAAACGCTTGAAAAAACCGTAAAAGTAAATCCACCTGAAGTAGAGGCTGCAATTTTATAGTAAGTAGTGGGGGAAGAGCTACACTCGTGGGATTTTATTTTGTAAGTAAAACTTGAAACTGTGTGTGTTTTACCTCATATATAACAAAATTTTGGTTACAACTGTGATAACATGTTCTTTCAAGGAGGTAATAAATGATAAACATTGAGAAATTATTCTGGGAAAAATGTATAACCATTCACAGACCATTTAGAAAGCGTGATTTTGGAATTTAAAAAATCAAGCAAGAACACCTCCAGGTTTCCCATGGGCCACTTACTCCACCGGAACCTAAACGACCCGTCATCCTCAGCAAGGCCGTCACCTTCAACCCCCACAGGTGCAATTCTGCCAGGCCCTCTCATCTGTCACCCGCTTTCTAAGTCAAGCCACTCTGCAGTGTCACAGTCATCAACTTCGTGAAATTCTGCATTTCTTGCAAAAGGCACAGTTTCACTTTATAGAAAACAGAAATTTTATTTTGGGGAGTTTCATTAGTGAGTGCCTAGCCTGAAAATGTCTTACACGTGGTGACAGACAAACCCAGGAGGGCGGTCTGAATGGAGACCCACTTTACAAGCAGTCAGCTGAAGACTGAGTTGTATTGTGTGGTCTGGCTTCCCTAGACGGTCCCGCTCCTGCTGAAGCCGAAGACACGAACAGCTGGATACTGAAAGCCTGTGACCAGCCACCTGCCTTTTTTATTATGTGTCTCTCGGTGGGTTTCCATAACTGACATTCAAAACCCAAAAGCAAACTTAGAAGTAACCAGAAACCACCTACATATGCACACATACATGCATACACACACTCACACAGAGGCAGAGGGCACATTCAGCATTAATAAAAAAAAAGAAATTCTCTAAACTACAACCGTCACACGCTACACGGCGGTGACAGAAGGTGACGGCGCCACGCGCAGTACCTGGCGACGACGCGGACGCCAGCTGGTGGCGGCACGGTGCCTCCTGAGAGGACAGCAGCACGCGGCCGACGTACAGGGCTTGGGTCTGCAGTGCGGCCGTCACCTTGCAGCTCAGCGGGTCTGCAAGGCTGGAGCCATAGGTCCATAAAACAGAAAGGAACCTGAAGAACTGGGAAATGTCTTCCAGATGCACCTACATTAAAACAAAAAAGAGACAGTGAAGTTTAATTCTTACTCAAATTAAGTTGGTTCCAAATCCTCTTTCACTACTGTGTTAACCACAGGAAACAGCCATTCTTTGCAACGCTTTCCTTTGCTGAGTCACTCAGTTCCTCCACACTCGGTGTGTGAACTGGGAAGGACACAACACAAGGCAGAGACTGGCGTCCAGGGGACTCACTAGGAGTCTGCACCTGAACACACCGGACGACAGCAGGAAAAGCGAGGTCACTAAGCAGAAAAGCAAGACAGGAGTGGCGTGGGGGAAGCCCCACTAAGAAAGTCCTCGAGGGACAGCACGAGCGACGTCAGGGTAAATGCCGCAGAGGGCAGGTAGGACCAGGACAGAGAACCGACCCCAGTCCTGGCCGATGGAGGGCGCGGCGCTGCGACCAAAGCTCTTAGCCGAGTGACTCCGCGTGTCCTAAACTGCCTCTCTGACCATCAGTGTCCTGCCGGTGAGGGCAGGAGTTAACCCAACGGACGGGCCTGCTGTGACGAGCAAACTGCTGACCAGGCCCGACCGGCGTCGGGATTCAGCACCGCCTCACAGGGCCTGCGTTTATCTTCACGCTCTCCACTGCTGAGAGTACTTTCACTGTCATTAAGGACTTCCTAAACTGATCCACGACACCTTCTTAAAGGGAAGAGCACGCCTGAAGAAGACGCGC